TGCTGAACCTGAGCCAAAATACGCCCTGGTTCAGGGCTTGCAGCACTTGGTCTCACAACGTGCACCAAGGCTCTCAGCATCAAGACCGAGTCTGGACACAGAAACGGGACGGCTGTGCTGGGTAAGGAGGCTCCTGATGCATCTACAATAGTGAAGCCACCTTTACTGCATCGGTGCTCCTGGCTGATGGACTCTGTGTGTCCATCATTAATGTCCTGGGGCTCCGAATGGTTCAGTATAAAACAGCTGCTTGCAGAAACTCAAATGGGCTAAAGCTGAGTCTCCGGTGCCGCTTTGAGAAGGGGGGTGTATCACCTGGAAAGGCTGCCGTGTGTGTACGGGATGCAGGAGCGCACGTGCTTACCCCACCTCCAGCCCATGGGTCCAAGTCTCCGTTGGAAAAAATGATGTTACTTGCACTTTTCAGGTCTGAAACAGAAAACACAGGAGAATAAAACCAATTCCTGGCAGTTCTTAGGTTTTCCACCTCTGCCTTAAGGAGGCACAGAAAGGTCTGGTTGGCTCAAGTCAGCCAGGACGTGTTGGTGCCCTGTCCCCACAGAGCTCAGCTGGGCAGAGGGGGGGACAGGCAGACCCCTACAGGATAACGCAACGGGACAAGCACCCAGCACAACTCACCTCCTCCCCAGAAGTTTGTCTGCAGCCAGCGTGCTCGCGGCCTCACGTGCCACTTGCTGTGACAGTACTGCTCCCGCATGGCCTCGGTGAAGGGCATGGCGGGGAACATGTCGGTCACGTTGTTGCTGTTGAAAGTCAGGTTGATCTCGGTGCAGACCTGAGAGAGGTACGAGAGCTGTCGTGGGACAGGGATCACCAGGGCAGAAGCCGAAACCTGTTGGTGTCTCCAAGCGCCTTACCTGGTAGTCCCAGGCCTCGGCATCCGAGCCGGTGCCGCAGCCGGTGGGGTCAGCGCAGGACTGGTACAGCTGGTAGATGTCGTAACACTGCGCCGAGCCGGAGGAGTTGTAAAACACCCCTGCCGAGGGGAAAAAACACAGCACAGAGCAACCTGTCAGTGCCTCTGCTGCCTCATCCACCCCCTCCCGCACAAACCTCACGGTCAAGACCAAGCAGGGGCTCTATCCCGGCTGGGCAAGTGTGTAGGGCTGGGGCAAAGCTGGCAGGGGATGCACCAGCATTAGGTCATGACCCCAACTTTATGCCAAAGCTTTCACATGGTCTCAAGCCTGGCTGCGTGATCTCCTTTGCTTCTGTTTCATTTGCGAGGAGGAGGAGGTTCCCAGGTGCTCTCTGCTGCTTCTGCTCATGCCAAAAGCCAAGTGAGTGGCTCACAAGCCCTTGGGAGAGCCCTCGCCTCCAGTCCCTAACGCCCCCAGGCGCAGGCTGCGCAAAGGCACTGCTTGAATGCTTCAAACTGAACAGGATGCAACCACCAAGACCTTCCCACCCCCTCCCTGAAAGCAACTCTGGTCTGAATGCATCGCACAGTCCAAGGGCGGCACGTCGCAGACAGGACTGTGCTCGACTGTTGTTCCAGAAGGGGAAGGCGGCGTGTGCAGGCTTGCCCAGATAAAAGAGCACCTGACCGGGCGGCCCAGCGAAGCGTAGCTGGGGAGCCGCCGAAGAATGAGCTGGGTTTTGTGCGGATGGGCAGTTACCAGATAGCGAGGAGGAGGAGGAGGAGGAATGCGGCTACACCAGTGGCTGTCCGCTGCTGCCAGTGTCACAGGGAAAACCCACAGCGCTGTTGGTTGTGTGCGATAATCAACACCAACAGCTCCGCTTGCCAACGGCCCTGCGCGGCTCTGCAGGACACAGGACAGGGGCTGCCGAGGGCTGCAGCTGCCTTTGGATGGGTCTGCGGTGTGGGCAGCGCGGCCTCAGCTCCCTCGAAGCATGAAACCGCTGGTTGGGCTGCAGGAGAGCACTCAGGAGATGCACTGAGCGTGGGCAGCAGAGTCCTGGGGCTGCTGCAGGGCTGCGCGTCTTCCCGAGCAATGCTGGGCTCGCAGGCCAGCGCGGCCAGGCTGGTGTCGGACACTTACTTGGCGAAGCTCCTGGAAGGGCTCAGCAGCCTTCGCTCGCAGAGCGCGCTGTGCGACGTGACGCTGGAGGCAGAAGGGGTTTGCTTTCCAGCCCACAAGATCATTTTAGCGTCGGCAAGCAATTACTGCAAGGTTCTGTTTGTTGGGAACTTGCAAAGAGCGGGGAGCCTGGATGGTAACATCCGGCTGAAAGCCGTCAGCGCTGCCGGGCTGAGGAACGTTCTCGACTTCATTTACTCCAACGAACTCGACCTCTCGTTGCAGAATATCGAGGAGACCTTCAAAGCCGCAGAAACTCTCCTGGTTCGGGAGGTGATCAAGCTGTGCTTTCGCTTTCTGGAGGGCTGCTTGAACTGTGAGAACTGCATGGACGTTCTCAACATCGCTAAGAAACTCGGCCCAGCAGAGCTGACACAGAAAGCCATGTGCTACGTGGGCCAGCATTGCAAACACATCCTGAGGGATCCTCGGTGCTTGAACGACCTGGACCGAGGAACCCTCTGTGACATTTTAGACAGGTCCGACAGTGAGGGCTGCAGCGAGCTGGAGCTGTTCAGAGCCGCCGTAAGCTGGCTGCAGCACGACCACTCGCGGCTGAAAGACGCGGCCGAGATTTTAAGGCGCGTAAGGTTCCCTCTCATTCCTTTGCAGGATCTGCAAAGATACGTCCAGGAAACGCCGCTTATGCGGCTGGATTCAGGTTGCCACAGGTACCTGCAGGAGGCTCTGAATTACCACTCCCAGCTCTACGCTCAGCCGGTCCTGCAGACCCCAAGCACCAGCGTCCGCTCCGGCTCCACCGCGCTGCTCGTCGCCGGCGGCAGAAGCACCGACAACCGCGTGAGCGGCGAGATGTGGGCCGCGGACCCGAGCTGCGGCGCCTGGCGCAAGGTCGGGGACCTCTGCGTGCCCGTGTACAACCACTGCGTCGCCGTCATCAACGACTTCCTCTTCGTCATCGGGGGCCAGTGCAAATTCGACCCCACGGGAAAGCAGCCGTCAAATGAGGTAGGAGACAAGAAACCTTTTGCCTTGGGAAAAGACCTGGGTGAGGAAGGGAGGGAGGGCCCACCACAGATCTCCCACCTCTACATCTTAGCAGCACTGAAAGCCATTGGGAATACAGCTCCCAAATGCTCTGGGGAGTAATCAGGTCCTGTCCTGCTCTCACCTTGCTCTTGCTGTAAATCTGTACACAAATTCCTCAGCACAGGTTTGGCCAGGTCCACGTCAGTCAACCAAGCAACCCCTGTTCCCATCGTTGCTGCACTGGAATGGTTAAATCCTACCACTTCACTTGGGAACTGCTCCTGCCTCGGTTTTGCCCTTGAAAGGCAAATCTGGTTTAGCTGCCAGGACCTTGTGCAGGATTTTATGTTTACCTTGATGGCTTCAGTGAGCTCGCCCAAAAAACCCAGCACATTTTTCCTTCCTGCACTCACAGGAAGGTTATTTCAGCGTTGTCCTTAGATGAACGGTGCTGCTGCCAACAGCAGCTCCCTGCCACAGCCTTGAAGGCTGGGGGCAGCTCAGCAGCAGCGGAGCAGAGGGTGCTGAGGCCATAGGGCCATGGCACTGGGTGCTGGGCCTCAGCCCAAACCCAACACTCACCACATGTGGTTCTGCAGACCCTGCCCTTGCTTGGTGACCTGGGCTTTCTAACCAGGACTCACAAAACAAGCTTGGGGAGGTCTTTACGGCTGAACCAGATGCGAGTGGAAGCTCCTGTGGTGATGCAACCAGGGACAAAGGGAGGGGAAGCCACTCCTGGCTTCTCCTGGGCAAAGCTCAGTCACTTTCTTTACCACACACTCCAACAGTAGCAGAGATGCAAAGTGCCCTTGTTTAAATCTCACAGCAACAGTTTGCAGCTGATGCACGCTACCTGGTGTTGGAAACACAGCTATTTCATTAAGCCAATGTGCTCCATCTCCTGCTTACCACTTGCAGAGCTGCAGAAAGGCAGTAACTGAGCCTCTAGCCCCAGAGAGGAGCTACTGCTGGCAGCTGACAGGCACTGGAGGTTGAGAACGTCCAAGGCCTGAATATAAAACCTTCCTCAGCCCGCAGAAAAAGCTTCTCTGTTAGCAAAGCCACACGAGATGCAAGCCAGCCCCTGCCTCCTGCTAACCACGGTCCCTCTGCTGCCATCCTAGGTTTTCCGATTCGATCCCCGCAACGCCTCCTGGCTCCGGGTGGCCAGCATGCAGGAGAGGCGGACGCGCTTCCACGCGGGTGTCCTGTCTGACCGCATCCTGGCCGTGGGCGGTGGGACGCTGCTGGGGACCCTGACCCGCACCGTGGAGCTGTACCAGCCTGCTGACAACAAGTGGGAGTTCACAGCTCCTCTCCCCACGCCGATTGCTGATCACGCAGGCACCACCCACAAGGGAATCCTCTATATCTCAGGTGACAGAGCTAGCAGAAAGCAGCATCTTTTTGTATAGTTACATTGATTTTTGCTGGCATCTTCGTGTCACACACACCAGTAACACCCGCAGCTGCAGTGTCCCTTTCCTGCTGCGTTAGCACAGCCTCATGGCCCTCCTGAATGCCAGGAGCTATTTTCTTTCACCATCTATCTATATTTCACCAAGACCTTAAAGGTAACATCATCCGCTTGCAATCCACACCCCTGCTCGCCTTTGACCTTGCAATCCTGGCTAAAACCCAAAGCTCTGCTGTCTGAAAAGGTAAAGCAGGAGCAGGCTGCGGGATTAAACCCTGGTATTAACGTGACTGGAAGATGTCAGACTAACCCTCCTGCACACAAAGCAGCACAATTACCCTCTTACCCACTGATCCTGTGCAGCTCCTGCCCTACAAGGGGTCGCAGTCTTTACAGGGATCTGTGGTGGATGGGCCATGGTGTTTAATAATAAAGCAACACTTTGGGAAATCGGTGCAGGAGCTTTAGCTTTTGTAGCTAAGGACCTGAAAGATCATCTTTGGGTTGTCCTAGGAAAAGCACCGTGGTGTCGGTGTTATTGCAGTTACAATCCCTGCGCCAGTCTGCCATGGCTGCAGGATCCCTGCTTCGTAAAGCAGTCACGGCCAGCTGGGATCACTGTGGCCAGCTGGGATCACTGTGGCCAGCTGGGATTGCTGTACTGACCTGGTCCAGATTAACCTCAGCCACACAGCAATGCAGGGCACTGCTCTGTGATGCACTTTTCTCCCAAGGAAGGTAGCGCAGGGGCTGTCCCCACAAACGAGTACCCCGCTGATGGGGGTGTCCTGCACCAGCAGTGCCGATGGTTGGAAAAGAAGGGTAATGGTTCAACTGGGAGAAGGGCTTAGGCTCAAGTCCCAGCTTTGACTCAGCAGGCAGCTCATTTAACCTCTGCTGGTCTCGATTCCTACCAGAGAACAAGGACAAAATTCCCTCACAGAGCTTCAAACACACCATAGTGATCTTGGCTGGGTAACACTGTACCCCTTGGGTATAGGAACTTACCCATACCTACCTACCTCCTTCCAGAGCAACGGGGTAGCTGCAAATGTGATATGGTCAGCCTGCAACCCTGCCCAAGCAAACTGCCAAATTAAGAGCATTACCTCGGTACAAGCTTGAAACCCAAGCTCCGTGCAGGCAAAGTGTCCATGCACAGACAGCATCGAAGCCCAGGTGAGCTGGGGCTTACAGCCAACCTGAAACACCATCCGCTTTGTTTGCAAAGACTCTGCAGGCTGGAATTCGGCAGCTGGAGGCGTTTACCCTGCCCATAGCAGCACATTCCTTCTGCAAGGAGCTTTTTATAATGCAGCCCTGAAATACACGAGTGAGCCTGGTAAAGACCAAAAGGTGAGAGCAGCTCTGGAAGACTGGCTCTGACCTTGTTTGGAGATTCAGAGAGCTTTGAACACTTCTCTTTCCCATCACCACTCTGTGGCTGCGTGTGCTGAAAGCAGATTCCCTAATTAAAGCTGGTCCTGGTTACACTTGAAATACCCCAAGAGCTTTATTCACAAATCCTTGTGTAAAACTGTACAGAAAGAGGTGGAACTGGTTTGGTTTGGGGTTTTTTTTCCCCCTCTTTAAAATACCTAAGCAGCTCAGGTTTTCAATTTCACTTGAAAGCTCTGCAGAATGCGGTGAGATTTTAAACCTGAGCTTCTTGGGTATTTTTAAAGCGGAAAAAAAAATCAGCTCTGTTAATGTTTGGAGAAAGTTGATAGATTTTCAAGGTTTCTGCTTTCCTTACAGGGGGCTTCTCTGGGGGTCAAACCCTACGAGACACATACAGCTACCTCCCTCGCCTCCGGCGCTGGGTCAGCAACAGCGCCATGGCTTTTACCCGCTGCGACCACGGGATGGCCACAGCCAGGGACGGGATCTTCTGCATTGGAGGAAGGACGCTAAAAGGAGTAAGTTCATTTGCGCTTATAATCCCAAATCTGACCCAAAATAGGGTCACTGCATTGCTAGGCCCTGTTTTATTCCAGTAATGTCATTATTCTGGGGCTCTTAGTGGATTGGTACAGTTAAAAGTCAGGCCAGTAAGCTTATGAAAATGTGCCTGCTGTTACAACTGTGCCCGTTAGAAGCTGCCCTCTTGAAGAAGTTGTCACACTCTGTTTGCCAGAGCAACAACGGCTGTTTAAAGCATTGAGAGAACACACGGTGCTAACACCGGAAAAGCTGAGTGTAAAGCTGGTCAGGAACCTGCCCCAAACACACTGACCACCTCATTTCCCTTGGTCAAAGCTGAGAGGGGAGGAAGCACTGGCAGGTGGGAAGAGGAATGGGCTGTGGTGAGGACACTGGCCTGGATTTTAGGAAAGATGGGCTCAAGTCCTGAAACACAAATTAAGCCTCTTCAAACCTGGATTTTCCATCTCTGAAAGAGGAGGGAAACTTCTGGGGAGGGCAGGCTGGGAAGAGACCTGCCAGGGACTGAAAGGCCAACTCCAGGAGAAACCCATGTCCTGAAGCCAAGAGAACCGAGTTTTCAAAGACCCTGAGGCAATTCCCATTTCACAGAATCCCAGCATGTCAGGGGTTGTCAGGGCCCTCTGGAGCTCCCCCAGTGCAAGCCCTGCCAGAGCAGGATCACCAGAGCAGTCACACAGGAACACGGCCAGGGCTTTGGGGGTCTGCAGACAAGGAGACTCCACAACCTCTCTGGGCAGCCTGGGCCATGCTCTGGACCCTCACACTGACAAAGTTTGGCCTCTTCTTCAGCTGGAACCTCCTGTGCTCCAGCTTGGGACCATTGCCCCTTGTCCTGGCATTGGCCATCCCAGAGCAGAGCCTGGCTCCTTCCTCCTGACACTGCCCTTTCCCAATGGATCCCCAGGAATGAGGGCACCCCTCAGTCTCCTCTGCTCCAAGCTCAAGAGCCCCAGCTCCCTCAGCCGCTCCTCAGCAGGAGATGCTCCACTCCCTCCAGCATCTCTGTGGCCTATTTCAAAGTGTAAAGACTCAGTTATTATCCACAATTCAATGCAATATATCCCTCCTTGGATGATTTCCTTCATAGTGTGTTAAAGGTCCAGAGAGCAGGCAGGCCTTGGGCTGTGCCAGTTCCAGCAGGTCCCTGTGGCACCTTGCTCAGCTCACTCCTCTGATTTTCCCAAGCTCCTTCCAAGCCCTGCCATTCTGGTGTTTTATTCCATTTCTCTTGAGGCTCTGCTTGCTAAATACATATTAAAAATTTGGCCCCACGGTGTTCAAGTAGATGTTGAGACAGGTGTGATACGATGGGTGAGCGCTGCTCTGGTTCTTTGCAGGCGGAGGAATGGATTCAAGTCAACGAGACAGAGCATTACTGTCCTGTAAGCAACCAGTGGACAACGCTGACGCTATCCCCGTTCAGCTGCTGCCAGTTCAGCATCACAGCCCACGAGTCCACGCTCTACCTCTCTGGAGGCGCATCGCTGCAGCACATGCAGAAAGAAGACAGCGTTTTCCTGTACGACACGGAGGGGCAGGTATGGAAGAAAGGCAGCCCCCTGCCTAAAGCTCTGGTGGATCACGCCTCTTGCATGATTAAACTGTCCCAAGTGAACGCAGCTGGTGAGACGGGGAGAGGCACAAACTGCTCCCCCCTGGGAAGGAGGAAGACATCGACCCTCAGCTTCTTCATCGCAAACAAACAAGAGTCCCCCTCTGCCTCCGAAAAGAAGTAGGATGTGAATACGTCGAGCAGATCTGACTGTGTTTGCCAAGGCATTAGTATTTTAACAACTCTTCTAGTTGCCAGCCAAGCATCCTCAGCAGTGGTTTGGAATTGGTTTGGTTCTGGTGCTATCATGGTGACAATGCACAATTTGCAGAACAAAGAATTAGTTCCCAATCCTACTAAGCTGCATTAAACCTACAAGAATTCCTGAAATCATTTTTTGTCGTTCAGAACCGGTTTTTCTGAATAATGACCAACGCAGAACTTATTTTTAATGAGCAACTTGAAAGATTTGATGAGAAAGTCTTCGAAAGAGCTTTGAATTCTATTCAAATTCTATCTCGAATAATTTCCTTACGAACACTGCTGGCTGACACATCAAGCACTCATGGAGATGAATATACACGATGTATTTAAGACTGTCTTGCCACTGGATGAAGACTGTAGGGCACTGTGATGACAAAAACCCTGATGAGGATAAGTTTGGAAGGGCGAGGGAATGAGCCCCTGGGCCACCATGGGACATCCTGATGGACAAAGCCAACGTGGGGCACAACGTCCCAGTGGGAGATGAGAGTTGCACCAGCTCCCATGATACACAACAACACAACAGCTCTACTTCCAGATGCTTCCAGACAACACGGTGTTAAATACAAGAGCAAACTGACTCACCTACAAGAGCAGCCAGGCCTTGGACTGGGTCTGTGTGGGCAAGGATTTGTTCACAGCCGACCTGGATGAGACACGTTACAGGCAAATTGCAGACACAACAGTTAACAGTCTCTGCTCCGCGCAAGGGCTAAGCTGGGAGATTCATTAAAGTCACCACTCACACGTTTTATGGCTCAGCAGCTTTCCAAGGGCCTAACACAACAGGTTTTTGGGGTTTTTTTCCCCTCCCTTCTAGCAACAAAATACACAGAAACAGGGGGACAGGGCTAGGAGAAACAGTTCCTTTACCGAGATAAGCAGCTGTGCAGAGGCCACAGTGACACACAACAGCTCCTTCCTCCTACAACCAGAACATTTTAATGCCCTTCTCAAGGAGCGGGGAGGGGAGGTAGAATCATGATTTCCATTTCACAGGTTGTTAAGCAGACCCTAAGGGAACTGAACATTTGAGGTAAAGGTAGAGCAGGGTAGGAGTGGCTCCAGCAAACCCTCCTCATGGCAGTGTGCTTCAAACGCTGCATCACAGGGAGATTTAAAACGTGCTGCTTTCCTGTCAGAGAGGAAGGGCTACAACATCCACTGCCACCTCTCCCCTGCCACCGATAGCACCCCAGGCTGTGCAGCCCCCTGGTCACCGAGGGGCACAGCCAAAACCACAACTCTCACCCACGTCCTGGTACTCACGTGCACTGGGTTGGCAGGGAGGTGACCCATGAAGTCGGTTTTGTATGGGTAGTCCATCATGGCCATCATGGTGAAGGCGTTTCTAGCAAACCCAAAGAGCTGGTAAACGTCCTCCTTGTTGGAGATCTTCTTGCACGTGGCCATTTTGCTGCTGATCTCATCGTAGGCTGCAGAAGGAAGGAAAACTTCAACAGAGGGAAATAATACCAGGCTTCAGCAGCTTGTTTTGCTCAAGAGTAAGGAGGTGCCATAACGCACAGATGAGGTTTCTACTGGGGAGGACTTATTACATCTAAATTGACACACACGTGGATGTTGTGTCACAGCCTTTATGCACAGCATCACGACCTGCGCTCTGCCCTCGCAGCGCCACTGACACCTCCCTGGGAGCCCAGAGGAGTCAGCACCCACTGAGACAGAAGCAGCACAGTGAGAGCTGCTCACAGAGAGAGGACAGCAGGGCACAGCACACAGCTCCCAGTGGGATTTGAGAGCTGGGAGAACTGTCAGTGAGCTGGGAGCATTTGCAGTGAGAATTGCCAAGTGAGAAGAGTCCTCACAAAGTCACAGAGTCCTGAGAGGTGCCTTCAAACTTGAGTGTGATGCAGAGAGGAGTCGGGAAGTCTGTCTTTGGAGAGATTCCTTCAAGATGCACTCACATACCTGGGCATTTCTGCTGGGGGAAGCTGCTCCCTTCATTTTCATCCTCTGTGTTGGAGTCACAGTTCCTGTCCCCATCCTGCCCTGCAAGCTGCCCACTGGAGCCTGGCTGGAAAACTCAGAGGTTGCCTACTTGGAAACCCAAGACCCACCTCTGGATACTTACTTGAGAGCCTAAGCCTTAACTATGACCACCTCATCCACCGTGGCCCCAGGCAGACCTTGAGGACCGTGGCTATTTAACAGTAATGGTTTTCTGCTGTGACCCAAATGGGGTTTTGCACCCCTAGCTCCTCTGGGCAGTTCCAGCAGTGACAGCAGCTGTTGGAGGCACACAGCCACTGAGGTGCAGCTCTACAGACCAAGCCAAGCCTTGAGACAGACCAGAAACCCACCAGGAGACGCTGCATCAGCCCACAATACCTGCTGCAGCCTGCTTGGGAGACGTTGAGAGACCTTCACCACTCTGTCCTTGGTTTCTAACTGCCCAAGGCTGGAGATAACTGAAACTGTTCATTAAATCAAGAATCAATAGTGCAAGCAGGAAGAGACAGCCAGGTGGGCACTTGCATTGATGTAGCTGAACCAACTGAAGATCTACCCGCAGGAAAACCGAATCAACTCTTGTCCACACGGCTGAGGCTGCCGTCTGTAGGGCTTGCTCTCCTTACCTCCACTCAGGCACAGGTCCTTGATCTGCTGGAAGGCTTTGCGGACAGCTGAGACACAGCCTGGGCTGGACTTCTGAAAATCCTGGAGGGACAGAAAAGACACAGGATTAGAGTTGTGTGGAGGAGGCTGCACTGGGAAGAACTGCCAGGAGTACCAGGAGGTGACAGCGGTTGCTGTCAGAGCACTGGTTTGGGAGCCAAGACCTGCTTTTCTTCTAAAGTCTGCCAGTGACGTGCCAGATGACCAAGAAAGTGATGTCCTTTTTCTTGGGGAAAAACATTGCTGATCCTGAGGAAGCACTTTAAGGTATGTTTGAAGAGCTGGAGCTGGTCATACTGGTGGAACAAGTGGTTTCTGTCACTGAAAGCTCTAGCAACCCAAACTGCTACTCTTCTGTCAACTTGTAAGACAGTTTGGGATCTGCTGGCAACCAGTGCTTTGTAATAATAAGAATTATTAGGATTCTTTTAAGGTCCTTTTACCTTGCTAAAGCAATGGTTAAATGACCACAAAGCGTTTTTCTTACAGAGACCCAGCCTCAACTAAAGAGAGATCTGGGACCTTTCTTTTATTGCTAACCCTCCTCTGTCTGATAGTTATGCTTAGAGTACTCACTATCACAGCTTAACTGGGAGCCCTTAGGGGTTCCACATCTCCTTCTCAGTGTGTTTATTGATCTTCATCCTACTGATGGCTCTCATTGGGGTGTGGGGATGGATCAGGCTGGGACAGAGGCACAGGGCTGCTCTGGCTGCCTTGAAGGCTGAGCTCTGCACTGGGCAATGCTGGGCTGCTGCAGCTAAGGAACCACCACCCCTCACAGTTCTGCCCCGCAGACCCTTACAGATGTGGGCACAGCTGTTGCAGAAGCAGAGGCAGGAGCATCACAGCCACGCCAAGGAAAGCTGTTCCCTCTCCAGGCTGCCAGCTTTGCTCTTTTGAATCACACCCAGTTCTGATCTCTGAACTGACCCAATCACAGAAGTGCAGCACGGTGGGGTTGTCAGGGCCCTCTGGAGCTCCCCCAGTGCAACCCCTGCCAGAGCAGGATCACCAGAGCAGTCACACAGGAACACGGCCAGGGCTTTGGGTGTCTCCACACAAGGAGACTCCACAACCTCTCTGGGCAGCCTGGGCCATGCTCTGCCACCCTCACACTGACAAAGTTTGTCCTCATGTTCAGCTTGAACCTCCTGTGCTCCAGCTTGGGACCATTGCCCCTTGTCCTGTCTCTGGAGTCTGGTCCCATCCTCCTGACCCCAGCCCTTTAGATAATTATAGGCATTAATGAGATCCCCCCTCAGTCTCCTCCAGGCTGAACAGCCCCAGCTCTCTCAACTTTCCTCACATGGGAGATGCTGCAGTGCCCTCATCATTCCTGAACAGCCCTGGCAGCAGGAACCTCATGGGGAAGCACGCACGTGGCTGTATGTGTGGTATTCACATAGGGGCTTTCTGTTTTCATATATAACCTAGTCTCATGCAAATGCCTTATGCAAAATCAACTTTCCACATGCCCTTTGCTCCCTTCCCTGGTGAGCTGGAAAAGCTCAGAATTCACAGAGAAAGTTGCTTTGAGACAATGCGCTCTGACTCACAGGAAGAGAGAGCTCCCACAATGATTCATGCAAGGTTTGTGCCTTCACGAGCATTAACAGCTCTCAGGGGTGTTCTCTCACCAAAAAGAGCAATTTAATTCAGATTTCAGATGCGCAAATACACTGAAGGTGGAAGGAATTACTTGAAAAACAACACAACATGCTTGCTTCGGGTCTCGGCCCAGAGGTTGGCTTACTGCTGCAGAGACAATATGTTTTTAAATTAATTGGGAAGGTTTTTCACATTAAAAAGGCCGAAGCCCCAATTTCAGAGGCTTGTAATGACTCACAGCACATTCACAACTGAAGCAAGACAGAGGTGTCAGCTGAACAGGGCTGCTGAGAAGGAACTGGCTTCAACCAGGAAAGAATTCCCACCGCAGGGCCCATTAGATCACTACGTGGTATTATGTTTTTTGTTTTAAAACGTGTAATTTTAAGCCCAGAAGTCTTTTATTCTCTTATACACTTAGAGTTTCAAATGCTATTGTATTTCTCTTCCTATGAAGATAATGCTCCTGAAAAGAGATGGTACTTACTGCTGTTACATCTCTGAAGAACTGCGCGGGGTCTCCAAGCCCAGCCACAGACAGCAGAGGAGCACTGGCAGCTAATGCTCCATCCACAATGTTTGGGTATTTTATCCTCATGTAAGCGCTCAGCATTCCTCCATAGCTGCCACAGGAGACACAAAAGAGTGATTTCCTTTACCAGACAGCTTAACATTTATAACATGAGCTGCAAAGCAGCAAGTCTGTTGGGGAAGGACTTCTGCTAGGAAGCCAGGAGCAATCAAGCAGCAGGTTGCAGAGCAGAATTATAAAGGAGCCTACAATGAAAACAGCTGGCTAAATTGTACATTGAAGAGGCCTGGAAACATCCAGCCAGTGGTGGTTCTCCAAAGCAATCATAAATTCATTAAATCACAATTAAAATCATAATTCTTGATGGGAGAGCTGACTGGGACCTGGGGATGAGCTCAGGCACAGGCACATCTGCTCTCCATCTCATAGCTTACAGCTCTACCTTTAGAGCTTGAGAGCCAAACAGATGCATGAGAACAGCACAACTGCAGCCAGGGAAGGACACAGAGAAGGGCAGGAGCACACACAACCTTTACCTGCCTCCAAAAGCAATGACAGGGCAGTCTGCAGCACCGTACTGCTGCTTCAGCTCAGTGATTAGCACTGCATAATCAGCAAGGGCTTGTTCCACGGTAAGCAGTCCGGTCTTCTTCAGCTGCATTGACTCAAGTCCAAAGGGAAGAGATTTCCCATAATACCTCTGAAAGGGAAGAGAGATGCTGAGGAAACACCAAGGTGTGGGTTTCCTCTGTGCTCACTACACAACTGGGATAAGGGTGTGCAAACTGGAAGCAGTAACAGAGCATGTGGTTCATAACAACTGGGGTAGTGCCTCGTCCCACACATCTGAGGAACAGAGCCCTTCAGGACATATCCTGCAGAGGATGGACAGCCCATGACAAGCTACTTCAGTGCATGCCAAGGGGGCCCTCGGCACGCGTCTCTCTCCTGAAATCCCCAGCTCCAAAAGGGAACGGGGTAATCTCTTCATGTGTGAGTTGTGGAATAGTAGTTTTCATAGAATGAAAAGGTTGAGTTGGGACTTCACAGGCTACAGAGATTAAATATTACCCAAACAAAATAACTCTCTAGTCCAGCCTGTGTAAACTACTTACAAGGGCACTGGTCTAAAGCAAATACACCACGGCAGAGGTTTTACTCAAACAGCAGTCTGTATCCTGAATTGCAGGTAGGCATAGTAAAAAGATTCAGAAGCCGTGGTTGAGTAAAGAAGAGTTGCTACCATGAGGAGAAAGCTTACAGCAGGTACACCTCAGCTTCATGGGAAGAGATGTCGTTGTTCTTCCTGAGCTGCAGAAAGCTGAATTTGGTAACACTGAAGAGAACAAGACTCTATAGTATGCACAATGACTGAAATACTCATCATGCATCATGATTAAACTACTCACGTGCTCAGCAAAAACCACAAGTGCTTGCTGTTCCTCTGCCAATTCGAATATGAAGTCAGAGTTCTGAGCAAAACTCCAAACGTCACCTTCATTGCCAGTGTAAAAGAAGATGGGTCCAAATCCTTTCTTCCAGAACTTTGCTGAGTGGGACAATTGACAGCAGTGAATTAAGAACCAAACAAACAATAAATAAAAAAACCACAAGCATGACATTACTGTGCTTTTGGTGAGTTTGGGCAGGAGCTTAACAGGGAAGAATTATGTGAACACGTTGATCCCTGTGACCTGAGCTGAGGAATACGGGCGTTACAAAGGCATTACTACAGAAATCTCTCATTTGAGAGGGGTAAATAAGAGCTTCCATGAGCTCAGCACATGGCCTGGAACTTCCACGTCTGCCTGAAAATCCCAAAAATGCTTCTGCAGGGCATTTGGAAACCGCTGCCCCAAAAAGAGCGATTTCCCATTTACATCTTCTCAGCCCAACTCATCCCAAAACATTTGCACAGATCACTTCTCCCATCAAATGGATGGTGGGGAATTGCCTGCATCCTTCTGCTGCTCCTGCTGTGATGTGTAATGCAGGGCCAAGGTGTAAATCACACATCATGGAACAGTTGGGGTTGGAAGGGACCTTCAGATGCCATCCAGCCCAACCCCAGGGACACCTCCCACCAGACCGGGCTGCTTGAAACCCTGTCCAGCCTGACTTCAAACACTGCCAGGGAAGGAGCATCCCCAGCTTCTCGGGGCAACCTGGTCCAGTATCTCACCACCCACATGATAAAAAAATTCTTCCTTATATCCAATCCAAATCCACCCTCTTACAGTTTAAAACCATTGCCCCTTGTCCTGTACCTGCAGGCTCTGGTAAAAAGTCTATCCCCATCTCTCTTACAAGCTCCCTTTAGGTGTTGAAAGGCTGCTCTAAAGTCTCCCTGGAGCCTTCTCCAGGCTCAACAACCCCAACTCTCAGCCTTTCCTCACAGCAGAGCTGCTCCAGCCCCTGATCATTTCTGTGGCCTCCTCTGGCCCTGCTCCCACAGCTCCACGTCTTTCCTGTGCTGAGGACCCCAGAGCTGGACCCAGTGCTGCAGGGGGGGTCTCACCAGAGCAGAGCAGAGGGGAGAATCCCCTCCCTGGCCCTGCTGGCCACGCTGTGGGGATGCAGCCCAGGATGTACTGGTATCTGTTATATATGTAACACACACACATATATCTCTCTCATATATCATTTATATGATGATATATGAAGGTGATGTGCTTCATCATCTTCTTCGTGCTCTGATCAGTTTATAACTGAAGGCAAATCAAGACTGGCCCATGGTGTCAATACTTGCTTGTCTTGCTTCAATGCCTGCTGCCTTTAACCAACATTTGATTTTAGCTTAGTCTTAAATTTTCCAGGAATTAAGAGGGATAATAAACAGCTTGCTTTAACAACCAACCTCAGACCATCAGTTCAGTGTGGATTTCAACACACCACCCAAAGGGACCCTGCCTGTCCTACGGGCACTGCTGCAGCACATCACAGAGGAACCCGAATTGAATTCTAGGCATTCTTGACACAGACTGGCGAACGCAGGAATTGGCTTGGAAATGGGTTTGAAACCTTTCATTAGTGAAACTTCTGCTCTTTGTTAACAAAGAGGCTGATTCCCTTCCTGTGTTGCCTTTGCTTTGTGTATCAGGTAGGAAAGCGAAGTGCAGCTTTACTCTGGCTTTTCTGCTGAGGTGCTTCATGCCTCCTGCAGTAAACAACCACCCGCAGGAGCCAACTCCAAACCAGACAGGTTGCTTAAAAAGGGATCTATTTTTAAACTTAAATCCTGCCAGCTAACCTCAAGACAGTCAGATGGCTGGTTGTGAAATAACAGTCTCCTGCTGATCATCTGAAAAGTCTTGTATTGCACAACCCGTTATTTGGCTAGAAAGGAAGGTGCTGCCAGCTCCGTGCTGGAAGCCCTCATTGCTCAGCATGGCTTATGCTATCTAAAGTTGTGGGGTTTTAAACAATGCAAAACCCTGACCCAGGAGGAGCTATCTTCACTCTTAAGAACGATGGGTGCAGAGTGCAATGCTCGGGTCACCATTTGTTTTTCCTGCTGCACTCAGAGCCCTTAGTTGCCGTTGTTAGAGGTGCTGTGGCCAACTGAGCAGACACGTGCACGGAGCCAGCCCCGGTGCAAGCCCAAGGCAGCTGCTGCTTCCACAGAATCACAGAATATCAGGAGTTGTCAGGGCCCTCTGGAGCTCATCCAGTCCAATCCCTGCCAGAGCAGGATCACCTAGACTAGGTCACACAGGAACACGGCCAGGTGGGTTTTGAATGTTTCCAGGGAAGGAGACTCCACAACCATGACATTTCCAGTCAGCTTCTGCTGCAGAGAGGGCAATGCCCTCACCTGTGCCCACACCTCCTGGCCAGAGTGACAAACTGAGGGGAAGGAGGGGAGGATACAGACACGATTGGGGGAACCGGCTCAGGAGGAGCTGGCACTCAGCTCAGAGTGTCTCCAGGGTGCTCCATGCAGCCCTGAGCACCCCACACAGGGGCTCTCTGCCTCGGTGCTGGAGTGGTCGGAGCTCAAGCCGGCCAGGATTCAGCCCTGACTCACAGCAAGGCCTCCCGCGGCCACGCCAGGGCTGGGAGCAGCCCCCGGGACCCACCTGAGACCAGGTAGCGCTGCGGGAAGGTCTCGTTGCCGTAGGTCTCGAAGTTGAAGTGGTCCCGCACTTGCTGGAAGCTCCGCTCCTCCAGGTCGGGCCTGGCTGCCCGGGAAGCTGCAGGGGAAACCGTCAATGCGGGGGGACCCGTACACCGGCCCGGCCCCGGTAACCGGGAAGCCCCTCCAGTGCCAAACCCCCTGCCCGGGGAGCGGGACGC